AAATAATTTATTATTTGATATCCATTTCCAATATGCACATTTTGGATTAAAAAAATACTTTTGTATTAAAATAAATACTTTTATCGCTTTTGAAATTGAAAGACGTTAAACTTTGCCTTTTACACTATGTCATTTCGACAAATATTTAAAAATTTACAACGATGACAAAGTGATAGCGCGAGAAGAAATTTAATTTAGGTGTTTATAAACGTGGATAAAACCTAGGCGAAAAAGAAAAAACTGGGCTACTCGCAGTATCTGATCCTATACGAAGTACTTACAATAAAACTCTGATACAGTTCCTTCTTATTAAATGATGAAAAATAAATTATCATAATAGGTATTTATGATTATTGAATATTAATAAAAAACTCAGAATTATACTGTTTTTAATATTTTTTAACGATATTACTTAATGTTACAAAAAAGGTTTATTTAATATAATGACAAATAACCCATTTTTCGCTAGTAGGTACATACTTATTGGAATCCTTGTATTTATTAATCAGCTCGCGATAATATTGGTTTGGTAATTATAAACGATGATTCTGCAAAATTCAAAGTAAATAATATAGATTTTTATAGGTAAATCACCCCTTTCATCACCCTACGCCTATAAGTATTGCGATATTGTAGCTAAGAACCAAGTTCCCATCTACTTCTATAGGGGAATTCATTATAATCGATTTAGCTATTAGGGCACGCAAGCGCAACAAACAAACTCACTTTCGTATAATATTATATTATACTTACTAGTGAAAAAATATAGCCTTATGTCATTTGGACAAAATGTATTTAAATAAAGAAAAATGTAATAATAAATAATGTAGCTACCTTATGATGAATTAATATTTGAAACCGGTTCAGTAGTTTGACAGATTATTTGTTACAAACATATATATTTACTGCTAAACTACTAAAAAAATCATAAACAAAAGATGACTTTTTGAATAAGTGCTAGCTTACTATAAAATTTACATACATTAGATATTTATGTAACGAGTTGATTTAACTTCACACATTTTTGCGAAAATTGAGGCCCATCTGCAGCCTTGACCCCGCTGGTAAAGTCTCTATATGTCTTAATAAATCAATCTTTAAGATCACCGCAAGGTACTTAATAATTCCCGCGATATTAATTCCCTTACTGAAGTAACAAGACTGCGGTATATACCGTCTTAAAATACTAACTAAAAAGTGTGAAATAAAAAAAGGTAAATTTAAAAAATCAAAAAACCCGACTGCTTAATTATACTTCAAATAAAATCTGAAAAGAAAAAAACAAGTCCAGTAGTCTATAATTCTGTTAATAAGGAACAAAGCTATTTTAACAGTCGGGACCCATTATTGAAAAATATTATGTATTCTTGAATATCTAATGGGTCCCGACTGTTAAAGTAGCTTCGTTCCTTATTAACAGAATTATAGACTACTGGACTTGTTTTTTTCTTTTCAGATTTTATTTGAAGTATAATTAAGCAGTCGGGTTTTTCTTTCTTTCTTTCATCTGTAGGATTTAAAATTAATAATTCGAATCCGAATTTACACAAACCCATTTTTGCTGTTGAATTTTTTAAAAAGCTCCGGAGATGAAGTGGATTTGCCGGCATTTTGTAGAGATAAGTAGATACTTATCTCAACAAATGAATTAATTGAGAAGATTCTCCATTAATTCAGTTTCAGATTAGGTCCAGTCAATTATTAATAATTCAAAGCTAATGTTTGAATATCACTGGTGTTATAGTGATTTTTATCCCCGACTATCACGCCGTCTCGATGTCCATTGCAGTGTTATCGTTGGGAATTAATTAATTAACCAAATAATAAAGTTGTATTTAAAAATAAGTTATATCCTCTGATAAGTTAAATAAAGGCTTGTGAAAGTTTCAAGTGATGAACCGTTATGAATAACCTGATATTATACCAGGCGCAACATAACTCCAAAGGATATACTTGTTTCGATGTATTCCCGATCTTTACATCGATGCGATGTGACAAGGGTTCCGCACCGCAACACTGGTTTTAATGTTTGGTATGATGGTCGCGAAAATTCGAATAGTATGTAGTTGGAGTTTCGAAATCACTTCGTCGTAACAAAAAATCGTAAATTTAAGAGAAACTCTTTAGATTTCTTGCAATAAAGAAAAACTTTGGTAAAATAATACGGAAATTCTTATAGTAGGGGAGCCCAAGCGGGGATTTTTGGATTTACTCGAGCGCGGCAGAATAACATATGGGGAGCAACCTTGCACCTAGTTAAGTACTCCCACCATACCTGGGTTCTCTATGTAGGGCCGAACGTCGCCGAACGGCAGCAAAAACAGAATTTCAACGAACGGCCATGACTTTTGGTCGCGCACAAATCGTTAGTCTTTTGATTATACGCTACTAGAGGGTTCATGTAACGTTTCTAAGAACGAAGAAAAAATATTGATCTGCCGCGGTTTGAATGATATGAGGGTGGCCGTAGGAAGGGGTAGAATATAGAAAAAAATAACCGAGCGCGTCAGATATTGAGAAGAGATGTTACGTGAACCCTTCAATAGCTCCTATTCAAAAGACTGACGATTTGGACCGTACCAAAAGTCATGGCCGTTTGTTGAAATTTTGGTTTTTGCTGCCCTAGACGTTAGGCCCTACATAGAGGGCTCAGGTATTGTGGGAGTACTTAACTAGGTGCAAGGTTGCTCCCCATATGTTATTCTGCCGCGCTCGAATAAATCCAAAATCCCCGCTTGGGCTCCCCTACTATTAGTCTCTGGGCAAAACTCCAAAGTACCGTCAACATTATGTCACAGGGAGGCGGCAAAATCTGTCACGGCAAATATGCTTGTTCAAGGTTGCGTTCTAAACCTACGCTCTGAGTGTAACTTTTTAACCTTTTTTTTAACCTGATAAAACTTATGACAAATCTTCCATTTGTTGCACCCTTTTTGCACCTGAAGCGTAGATTTGGACTGCAGCCCAGAAATAATATGTTTGTTTCCAGGGAAACGTACATTTAACCGACAGTCTACCTTGAAGTTTTGCAAAGGTTTCAAGAAAATAAGCTAGCTAATGGTGGATCCGAGGAATCAAATTGACTGACAATACCTAAGTAAATAAATGTCAATCCATAACATTTTATTTATTGGTTCACGCTCTTCTGTAGCCAAATAAATAAACATGTTCCTGGAATTCAAATAATACGACTTCTGATTTATTCGCATCGCTCTATCTCTAGGTAGGTACTTCCGACAACTGTCGCAATATTTCGATTGGTTCTTACGAATAGTGTCCCATTTTATTGGGTAAAATTTTGTCTGTCGCCGAAATTCTTGCGAAAATTAAAATCTGAGGCTTTACTTACTTACCTTACTACTAGCCTTCGCCCGCGACTTTGCACGCGTGGAATTAGTGATTTGAGTAGCTTATTTAGTACCCAATCCGATTTTTTATCAATTAATATACGGTTTTTTATTTGAAACAAGTTTCAAGTCTATAAACTCAAGGAATAAAATCTTTCGTACAAACTTTCATCCTCTTAAACACTTTGAGGTGAATTTTGAAATTGTTTTTCTTAGTACACTCCTAGACCTCATAAGGAATCGCGTTGATATGACAGTATATTTAGATACCTATGTTAAAATGTTTATTGTAGATGCTTTTTGGTTAATCTTGTCTGTCAGTATTAGGAGTAAAAGCTTTATGTTAAAAGTCGGTCAATCCTACTCAAACGGCTAAATATACTTATTTCAATTACTTTTAGCAAGAAAAGCGTATCCTGGATTACCGGGAACTCGTAATATACTTTTAGTTTAATGGATGAAGTGCTCCACAGAAATAGAATTGTGAAGTTCACATCTTAGAGCATTTACAAGTAGACCCTCTAATACTGGCTCAGCGATTCTCGCTTGTCTCAAAACGCGCGCGCGTTCATCTTTGCTCAGTAATGTCACCGCGACCGAATGGCGCGAGTAATCGCTTGTCTTACTCGCACACTCGCTTATAGCCTAGCGATAAGGTTGAGAGAGAGCATTTTACTCCGTAAAATATAGCTATTTTACTTACAAAGTAACAAGTAAAGTGGTAGGCACATTGGTGATTTTATACCGTGATACGGTGATATTGGAAGCAAGTTGAAATGAAACGAACTTTATTTCATTCATGTTGTTACCTCAGTTTTTCATACTTGACTTCACACTGCCAACGATCTTATGCTCAGGGGGTCTACTTTCTTCCTCCGCAACGAACTTTCGTTAACGAAGTTGAAAAGAAATTTCATTCGTCAATTTGAGGTTATACTTAATTTGAACGATAAACTATCAAATTCAATTTTTTCGTTTAATTTGCTTAGATAATTTGAATCTTAATCTATTTTCAGGTTAACGTATATTATTATAATTAAATACGAGTAAGAAAAGAAACATAGTAAGAAACGTGCGAAATTTCGATCGAAAAGTCCTTTTTCGTTGAATTAGAGTAAACTTTCAGATCTACTAGTGAATGACATGAACTAAGCAAATCTAATCTATTATCTTAATTTTATCGAACTCCCAATGTGAGCCGCTTTAAACCAAAGCACCCCAGACTGTAAGTCCCTTATTATACGAGTATTACACAATTTTCAGCAGAAGTATACGACGAAAGTAGTCAAAATGTTAACTGAAAATTGAGTTGCTGAAATTATTACTTAAAATTCCACCTCGGTTGAATCTACCATAGCGAAATCAATCTTCAATTAATAAAAGCAGTAGGTATGAATTTTTTATAAAACCTACTAAATAAAAAAAATAACAATTTCGACGGAAGAATAATTAAAATACAGACAGAAAGACTTTATATTATACAATGGCGGAATAATGTTTGAGTTGCAAAACAAAACGGAAGTAAAGTTACTTATTAAATCAAAGAAAATCTATCCTAAAAGGAATAATTTAGAAAAAAAGCTGGAGCACTTGAAAAAAAAATGTTTAGATACTTTTAAGCCGAAAATCATTGTGACACAATTTATTTTCGAAATGGAAGTGACTGGCTATTGGCGTTCAGAATTTGCTAAGGCAAGCGCCATTGGGGGCCAAGGGTGTCTAGAATTTTTGCCAATCTTTGTTTGTGGAACTAAATTTCTAAATGAATTCATCTGTAACACTACCTGTAAAATTGACAACTAACAGAGTTTAATAAAGATTTGACAAACCTTTCAGAAACTGTGCAGAACTGCAGAGACTCTGAATATCGCTAGTGTTGAATCGCTCGCGACCGCACTTACCCCCTTATAATAATATTATTATCTTGTTTAATTGTGTAAAAGTTTTTAAGCCGAGCGCAAATATTAAAATATATTTGTTTTTGTCTACAGCCGCAGCGAGTCGGCTCTGAATAGCCCGACGGAACCGGACGTGTCGCTTGCGGCCTCCCTCACCGACCCCCTGGAGGCCCACACCCTGGACGAGGCCAGGAGGACTATAAGGTAACCGACTTATCTATGAATTGAAAAAAAATAAACCTCGATATTGTAAATATCTCTTATCTATTAGGCAAGTCCGTCCGTCCGTCTGTGGTGCTGTTTCAGCGGCCAAACCGTAAGAGATAGATAAAGAGAATATTTAAGTTATAAGTTAAGAATAGTCTGATAAGACTACAAACCGGATTTGAGTAACGCAGCACTTCCGGTTTTCGAGAAATCACGAATTTGAAACGAAACCACACAAAATCTCCGAAGTTTTCAATTATTATTTTTTTTTTAAATCAGGTTTTGGTGAACATTTGGTTCACTGGTTTGCTAGTAATGCTTAATGTCGTAAGTCTTGGGGAAGTGTTTTTTACTGCTAATGTAGTTAATTAGTTAATTTCACAATGCTATCCGAAAATTAGTGAATTTAGTAAATTGTTTTGAAAAAATAATTACATCAACTGTTACGAATATGCTCCATTTTTGGAATTACATTAAGTACTTTGTGGGTGAATTATTAATCGTAACAGTTTTAGTCAAGATAACTCGCCTCCATTTAAAAACAATTTAGGGTTCGTTAACTTTTAAGTGATTGACTAGCAGCTTATACGATTTTTTTTTATAGTGCTCTTATTAGGTACTCGATGGCGCAAAGGAGCTCAATGGCGCAGGTGGTTAGCGCGTTCGGCTGCGATCGTTGTAGTTAAGCAACTTTCGCAGTGGTCGGTCATTGGATGGGTGACCAAAAAATTCTATCTCGAGTTCCTCCGTGCTTCGGAAGGCACGTTAAGCCGTTGGTCCCAGTTGCACCTGCAGTCGTTAGCACCGGCCAATCCGCACTGAGCCCGCGTGGTGGGTCATGGCCCAATCTCCCTATTCCATCCATAGGGAAGGCCTTGGCCCCAGCAGTGGGGACATTAAGAGGCTGATGATGATTAGGTATTATTATATTTTAAAGAATATCGAGCAAAGTTGTAAATAGCCCAAACTTATAGTGATCTCAGCTAAGTATGATATATTGTTCTCCCACAAAATGCTACTATTATTATAGTCAACACATTATTCAGGAGTATTTGCTCTTACTGCAAACCATTATAGGAGACCTATTCCTGAAAGTGTTGTAAACACAATCTTGTAGCTAACTATAAGACTGAGATATAAAATCAAATGTACCTGATGATAACTAAGTTAGTGAAATGCTAATATTAGTAAAAGTAACCTGTACTATATTTTGTAGGTCAGGCCTGTAGCAAACTATAACTGTCTATAATATAAAAATGAATCGCTGAATGTTATTAAGCGCAAATCTCGAGAACAGCTGAACCGATTTCGATAATTCTTTTCTTAGAATATTCCTTGAAGTACGAGGATGGTTTTTACGCAGAGAAAAATTAAATAAAATGCCTGAAAATGTCCAAAAACAACACTTTTCTATACTCCCATACAAACGATTCGTAATAATACTTAAAAGTCAATTTGAACTTTAATACCATACCATAAATTTTATGTCAGTGGAGAGATTCTGGGAAGGCAAAACAATTGAGCGACGTGATGTCAATAGAAGTTTGGAAAAGGCAAATATACCATTTTTTTTTTTTTATAATTACTTACATGAAGAGTCATTTAAATCTACACAACAGCTCTACACCGAAGCGAAGCGAGGGCGCGCCACTAGTATATAAATAAATAAAATAAATAATTTCCTATTTTTGGACTAGTATTTCCCTATGTAAAAAACTTAGTTAGAAACATATCAGTCCACACACCACTCGTACAAAATAGGCGGGTATTAATTAAAAGCATCTATACAATCGGGAGTCATCATTATCATCATCATCAGCCTATTAATGTCCCCACTAATGGGGTACAGGCCTTCCCCATGGATGGAATAGGGAGATTGGGCCATGACACACCACGCGGGCCCAGTGCGGATCGGCGGGCGGTGCTAACGACTGCAGATGCAGCCGGGACCAACGGCTTAACGTGCCTTCCGAAGCGAGGAGGAACTCGAGATAGAGGATTTTTGGTCACCCATCCAATGACCGACCACTGCGAAAGTTGCTTATTTTCAACGATCGCAGCCGAACGCGCTAACCACCCATCGAGCTCCTCAATCAGGAGTACCATAAATCAATAAAGTTTTGGTAGCCCATAGTTACGAAATATTGTTTAACCTCGACAATAGCTGACAAAACGGATAATTAATACAACATCAGCACGACTAATTGTTATAGATATTTTGATTAATATCTGTATTTAACTACATTAGAAAGAGCTGTGGTTTTTGTGAATGACAAAAGCTCTGCTTTAAAATCAACAAGCCAAGTGAAATAATATTTTCGGAAAGTTACATTTGGTGTTAACTGTGTTCATGTAGATTTTCTGCACTTATGGAATATTAAAATGGGCTAAAATAATGGAGTCGAAAGTGCTTGCTCACGTTTATAAGAAAGTCATGAAATAAAAAAACATAAATCTAAGCACTTATTCACGCACCAAACGCAACGCAGGTGTGGTCTAAGTAATGTAAGTAGCTCGCTAGCAAAAATATCAAGCTTCGCTCTTGTTTCTTTATATATTCTAAAATAAATTAAATTTTAAATATTTCCGACACTCACACCAATTAGCCTAGCCCCAAAGTAAGCACTATAATGCTTGTGTTATGGTATGCTAGGGTAACGGATAGAATACATATACTGTACATATATAAGTATATTTATATAAATACATATTAAACATCCATGACTGGAGTACAAATGCTCGTATTCATCACACAAACATCTGCCCCCACCGGATTCGAACCCGGGACCTCTCGAGTCGGCGACAGCCATGAAACCCGGCGTACAAACCACTCGGCCACGGAGGTCGTCAAAATTCACAGGCAGTTGGAAATGATTTATAGTATGTTTTCATGAGGAGCTCGATAGCGCAAGTTGTTAGCGCGTTCGGCTACGATCGTTGAAGTTAAGCAACTTTCGCAGTGGTCGGTCATTGGATGGGTGACCAAAAATTTACTATCTCGAGCTCCTCCGTGCTTCGGAAGGCACGTTAAGCCGTTGGTCCCGGCTGCATCTGCAGTCGTTAGCACCCTCCATTCCGCACTGGGCCCGCGTGGTGGGGCATGGCCCAAACTCCCTATTCCATCCATAGGGAAGGCCTGTGTCCCAGCAGTGGGGACATTCATAGGCTGATGATGATTAATTACTCTAGCTACGCTGGTTTCCCGATATTTCGATCGCGTGTGTACATAACGTATTTGCCCAATATTTCTTGTAATCTGAACACAGGAGTTCCATTAAATATCGGAAATATGTACTCGTATACTGGAATATGTTTTATTTATTCTGTTCTATTATTAGGGAATATTTGCGTTCAATATTTTTATCCAGTAATGTTTGCCAGATATAAATAAGTAATCATACAAATCACTTTCATAGGTAGATAGAATTTAGTACTTAAATATTGTGGATTTCATTATTGAGAAAATATGGTGTTTGAAAACTTGTACTATTTGATTTTTACTAACCGATTTCGAAAAGGATGAATTTTTCCGTTTTTCTAGTAAATATATACTTAAAACGAATATTAAGTAAAGATAGATTGCTAGTTAAGAGCATGCAATACTTAAAGAAATTTCATGTTCATTGATAAGGTTTCTCTTCTCATTGGTGTTTCTTTGGTCTGAAAGTAGGAGATACAAGGAAGTTGTATATATAACTTTCTTCGGGAAATAGTACTGTACATATGAAGATAAAAGAAAATTAATATGTATTTAAAAATCCTTTTTCTTTTTCAGGGATTTAAGGATGAAGTATCGTGCTCAAGCGCACCAGTTATTGACATGGCGTCGTGCACACCGCACTCAAGAGGAACTGGTGACCCGCCTGCAGCGAGAGAAGGCGGAGCAACTCAAGTCCCTCTCCAGCCAGCTGTTGCTGTTCGAGTCGCGGCTCGTACGCAAGCAGAAAGAGATAACCACAATGCTTGCTTTACGAGACACAATCATCATGAAGCAACAAAAAGTTATAGAATCCCTACAAGCCAAACTACTAGATAACGGCATAGACACATCCCAAACTATCCCCGACTTCAGAGATTTATTACAAGATACCCATATCACAGGAGACTTCGATTCTCTTAATGATTCCGACTCCGCTGTGATCATGGAAGACGTCGATTCCGATTGTAGTAACCTGCCGCACATACCGAGATTCAGATCAGCCAACCCTGATAGCGTCACAATAGTCAGGTCGATATCGGATGCCATCGATCCTAACCTTAAGTATAGTATTGTTAGACGTTCAAACGGCTTTTTGCGACGGCCAGAAATATTGGAGACAGTTTACAGTGTCGAAGAAGAAGCTGACGGCGATTCTACCAAAGCTCTAAGCGCTCAGAGCAGCACCGAAAAGGAACTGAAGGACGCCAATAAAACAGACGAAGAGAAATGCAAAGAGACGACACTTCTCGCTCAGAGACGTGACAATTTCCGAATGAGAAGCGTCGTGTTAACCGCCGAAGTTAAGAGCATCGATAGCGATAAAGACCAGAAAGCCCAAAAGCCTAAGAACTTGTGGTCTTACAGTTATGTGCCAAAAAGAATGACTCCTGCCAACGATTCTGATGAGGAAGTGACGTCCAACCCTGAGAGCGACGAAGGCGATCCAGAGCCCAGGGCGAACCACGTAGTTACTTACAACCGAGTCATGTCCAACCACAGAAACGTGACCAAGCCTAAAGACGTTAAGTATAAGAGAATAAACAAAGCCAAGTCTAAGAGTTTAGAAGAATTGCGCGGTAGGTTAAAGAATTGGGTCGAGAAAGGTAGCAATAAGCTGTCGAATATACCGCTCGAGCACGCCCAAAGTTACGCTTGAACTACCCAAAGTTCCTTTTAATTAATGCTACGTGTGACATAGAGGATGAAATTACGTGAACCTTTGCAACCTGAGGAGTATGGCGGAGTTGCTTGGTATCAATGTAAAGTACACAGTCAATGAATCACAAAAATACACGTTCGTAGATTAAGTTAACTTTTTTAATAAATAGGGTTGTACCTAACAGCTTTACGTGAACGAGGCATATTATTATAATGATACTCTATTCTTGATACTTGAACCTATTGTAAATATTTTTTCTTATGCGCATTGATTGGATTGCGATCAATCTAGATTAAGTTTATTGATGATGATCCATGCGATATTCTTCTCAGATTTCTATTGATTTTGATTTTCAAGTTAATAAGACGTTTTTTTTTCTTATTTTAGTAAATTTATTACAATTGACGATTACCTATTATGTACATCATTATATCAGCCATACGATGCCCACTGCTGAGAAGAGGCCTACTATAGTTAGTTTAAATAATTAACATGTCAATAGAAACCTGTGGAAAACCAGGCAGGAGCAAATGTTGCGCTGACTGATTTTGCGTATTTCACTATAAGACAAAAAATATAAAAAATATATGTATAAGTATGTTGTTTTAAATCGCTTTAATGTCGGAATTGAAAAGTTGTTATTCTGTGATTCTCGTTTTTTTTTGTTAATCCATATATATATCTCATTTCGTATGAGATAATTAGAAAAAGAAAAATAAATATTTTAATTTAATATATTTGAACCGTATCAGAAAAGTCATAATTTGTCAAAATTAGTAATTATTATAGTATAAATGAATATTTATTATACGAAAACAATCCCAGTGCCAATCTTATTAATGTTAATATTTTTTTTGTCAAATTAATAACTAGTAAGTACCTAGTATTTTATCTAGATATACAGAATGTTGATTTGGTATTAATTTAATTGAAAAAACAAAAATCATTTGATCATTATTATACACTCGCAATGTTGTGTATTTTTCTGTGAGCTACATTTTTATTAAAGTGTTTGCGTTCATTATATTCGGTATGTATTCGATTTCACAATCCATTACCTATTTTAATATTGGTCGCGCTCATCGCAGCCGTCATGAAAATAAGGAATCTTCTTCTTCTTTTGGAATCATTTTCAAGGAATCATTTTGCAATCTACAACCACAGAGTAATCAAAAACACAGAATGAGAAAGACTGGTTGCTTCTGCCAAAACTTTTACATAGATGAAATAATTATAGGTTTATCGAGCGATTAAGAAATTCAATGTACAGTCAACAGAGCACCTGGTCACCACAAACTGTGGAATGGTTGCAAGTGATTTTGAACCCAATTTTGAACGCGTTAAGAGAAAAATCGATTAGTGATATTTTTCAGTTACGTCTCTATCGTAACGCTCGACGTGCTCTGTAGGAACCCACCCACTTTATGAGATTCATTAAGAATTGAAGAAATCTTCAAAATTTACTTTCCACTGAATTCACACCAGTATCTTTTATGAATGCGCCGTTAATTACCGTCTAAATTCGGAGATTAATTTTTTTATTAATTCCATTTTGTACGCCGATATTAATAATTTGCAAAGGAGAAGTCAATTTTTTTTATAAATTAACTTCATTTGGGTGTAGTTACAACATTCTGTATATGTGGTTGATACAATCATTTTCAGCTGTATACAGAGAAAAGCTTATCAAACTACTATATTTTACCACATAAAAATCATAATATAATATATTGTGTACGTTCATTCCTAATAGTCAATATGCAGAGATAATTCAATTGAAAAATAAAAAAATAATAATTATATACCTGTGTTTTTACTTATATAATCCATTTAAGCAATAATGCTGGCCAGGTAGAAAAAAAATACAGGAATGAACCAGATAAGGATTAAAGCCTTGTTGGCTGTAAAGCAAGGATTGCCTTGGCATTAGCAGCTACAACATTGGTAGATTGTAAAAGTGAGTAAACAAGCTAGACAATTTCGGAAACGAACATGAGAATTTGTTAGGTAGATATTAAAGTGTTCAGTACCCCTAGCACGAACTAATATCGAATTCAAATCGTTTGCGAGTCCGAAATGTCAATGTCAAATTTTGTATAGAAACATGAACAGCAGATATATGTCAAATATGTACTGATTTTATAGAATTAAAAATCAGTACATATTTGACAATGACATTTCGTACTCGCATTCGATACGAATTCGAAATTGGTTCATGCTAAGTGTACAGGTCAGCCAAAATCAATGCCCATACCAACCAACCAAAGAAAACTTTTTGTATAAAAATAGGGAACCGATTCTTACAAGCCCTGATGATATTTGTGAGTGTTTTATTAAATTGACATAAATATTATTTATAGGAAATAAATACTTGACCCGGTTTAAAAAGAAAACCAGTGTCCCGGTCAGTTAGGTAATTCGCCCCGGTTGTTATTCTGGCCATAAGTATTTGCAAAGTCGCGAACCACACACAAAAAAAAGAATTGTGGATTACTTATATTGCGAAGAGATGGCGTTGCCTTGCAACCTAAGAAATTCTAGAGAAAATTCAAACATCAGGGCCGCCGTAGCATAATGGTCACTACATTCGCCCGGACAGCGAAGGGTATGGGTTCGAGTCCCGTCTGCTGCCGGGCCCTAGTGATTTTTTTTCTAATAAAATTTTATTCAAAAAAGAAGTTGAGAATTTTACTATCTACATTTCAACAATAATATTTAGGCCTTGATTTTTTTAATACTGCAATGTCCCGGTTTCAACCGGCTTTAAGAATTAGGATTGTTGTAATTGTACTTAGAGTAAAATTTGATACTAATTAAAAGAATGTAATTAATTTATTAATGGATCCTTTAAGAGAGGCGTGAAGAAGCAACATGCAGGCCGGCAAGGTGAGGATGGCTGGTGTGGCAGGTAGAACTGCTGTACCAGCTTCACCATCACTTAACATCAGGGGGGATAGAATCATTTGTCACATCTATAAAAAAAAACAAATTATTAAAATCTTATTAATTGGAAAATTTCATTTAATTGGATTTCTTATCAAAACAGGAGATAAATGGGGATTGATTAATTTCCTACTTTTGGGTGAATCATATATAATTATATATACATTGTAGACACAAGCTTAGGCTATCACACGGTCATTAATTTACTTTATCTTGTGCAGTAAACTGAGGATTAGTTGGCGGCTTTAAAGGCATCCACTTCCTGTGGGTAATAAAATGCTTTTTTCTTTTTATTAAACATCATGAAATATTAATTGCACTTGTTAAGAACCGGATATTACGCCATTAAAGTTTACTAAGTACATTTTTCAAAAGAGTTTTCCTAAGCAGAGCTTGTGTTAGCGCAGTTTTATTATGGGTCCAAATTTTTTTAAAATAATGACCTATAGTTTATATATTGAAATACCGCAATAAATAGCAAAGGAGATTGCTCAGCTTCCATACGTGTTTGGCCTAAAGACCAATAATCATGAAAAATTGTTTCCTAGATTCGAAATTATATATAAATTACTGTAGAAACGAATATTATTAACGGACAAATCTCAATTTGAGCAATCTCCTTTTAAAGGAGATTGCTCAAATTGGCCTAAATGCACAAAAAATATTGACAAACACGGTAATTCTTGGCGTAATTTATAATTTAATTTACAGTCATTAGATTTCAACGGACACCTTTGTATAATATATTTACTTTAAAAAGGACTTTTAATTTTACCGGTTTGGAAAACATACGAATCATTTTTAATGGCTATGGGTGTAGAAACATTCAGCCAAAGACTGATCGAAGTTGTTTATATAACATAAAAAATGGTTGCCTGTAAAGTCGGTTTTACGGGCGAAGATTTTACGTGACAACGTCTTTTTCTCGGTAGAATATTTATTGATATGAATATAATTAAATTGCACAATAGGAACAAGGAATTGAATGAAAATAAGAATTGCACAAATTTTAACTATAGAAATATATTTTGTTTACTAAAACATTGTACATGTAAACTTAAACTTAACACGAGAGACTCATCGTAACGTTACCGAGCGTTACACTTTTTCATAAGTGACTCCCAGCCGCAACCTAATTTAAGACGTTGTCACGTCAAAAACAAATCTATTTTGTAAAGATCGATAAAATAAATCATTTTTTTTATTACACTGTGGTATTTATATCCACAACTATATTATCATTTTCACTAGATGCAAATGTGCTCAGACACTTATTATAGATGGTAGGCGACATCATAAAGTCTATTGCCATACATTTTTCGCCAAACACCTCCATAAACACATTGTAATCTGTATATATATTAGACTTTTAGGTATTATCTATCTATGGGCCTTGACTATAATTTAATAAATAAATAAAATTATAAGGTGTGATACACTAAAAATCTAAAATATGGTTATCTTAAAAACATAACAAAAATAATGAAGCTACTGAATATAAGGCTATAGAACCTAAATCTCTTAGCTTTCTTTGATTAACGAGTTTCAAAATTCTCTCTAATCTGTGGCTCATTCACAATCATCACACAGTTTCTGTCACAGAGTACCTTATTATAACCGGAAATGACACCTGATTTTAAAAGTTACTCTTATGCATTAACTTTAAAAACGGGCAACTCTGTTAATCTACATGCTCTATATACCTGAATCTAATCCATAATTTCGGTACTTGGCTTGATTTCCCTAGTTTACTATATAACTTATTTGTTTTTTATTATTTTAATTTCTTTAGTGTATATGGTTTATAGAAGTTCTCAGGGGTGTCCGTTAATAATATTCGTTTCTACAGTAATTTATATATAATTTCGAATCTAGGAAACAATTTTTCATGATTATTGGTCTTTAGGCCAAACATGTATGGAAGCTGAGCAATCTCCTTTGTATACTGAACTTTGGTTTGCATAAGTACCAAGGGTTAAAATGATATAGTTAACGTCAGTCGGTAGATCGAATTTCAATCAAACATGGTAAATTCCACAGAACACAGAAATAGGTTAAAAGGTTGATCATAGACCGTTTGTACGTAAACCGATGTCGCCGGCAGGCCCCCACTGCACTTCCACCTAATAGATAATAACCAATCAAACTACGCGACATCAAACTATCGAACCAATCAGTGCTCACACCCGAAAGCAACGACGCAATCAGAACCATGTTTTGGTCAAGTTATGAGCATTCGCTCACACATAACCGTGGCGCGCCTGCCCCGACCACAAGGCCATTCTAACTTCTATCCCGACCCTTCTTTCCCAGTGGGCACTTTGGGCAAGTGCCCAGGTCCCCGCGATCGATAGGGGGCCCCCTCAGATCAAATAAAAGTCCCTAGTTCCTGTTAAATCACCAAACGGAAGTCATAGGGGTCCCATTGTCCTAATATGTCCAGGGCCTTAGGTCTAGTACCCATTGGACCCTCAAGATTCGACCCAAACGCAAAAAGTGCCCATTGGACCCCTTTTTTGGTGTCCATTGGACCTTCTTAAAACATTTTATATTCAATGTGCCCATTGGACCTCTTTTTTGGTGCCCATTCACCTCCTTAAAAAAATTATCTTCAATGTGCCCATTGGACCTCTTATTAAGTGCCCATTGGACCTTCAAGATTATACCCTACTGCCAGTTGGACCTTATTAACAGTTTTGTTAAGCACAGTACAGTCATGTAGAAAATTGTAGACAAAAATAAAATTAATAGTAGGTATTATAAAGCCACTAACTAAATACTGAATAAATACTGACTCCAAACAGAAAGTAGTCCTAAACAAATTATAAAGAAATCTGGTTACCTTTTTTCTTCGAATTAACGATATTTCGCCGTCCCCGGAGAATAAAAAGATAATTCTATAAGTACAAAAATGTAAGTTTTCAGGAAAAATAAAAATAACTTTTTTTTGTCTATTGCTCTATAAATACTGGACGCAGACAGATGATAGTAAGCTTTAAGAAAAGCTAATTTTTAACACATTTGGATTTTTTAGTAAGGTACTCGTACAATAAGATATATATTTAGAGATATATATAAGAGAGATATTTAAAAAATAAAAAGTGAATCAAAAGTAATCAAAATTTAATTTGTATAATTTTTATTTTATTCGTATTGACAAGGAGCCAAATCCAAATATTGCACTACTGACATGTATTTTTATTCTATGGTTTATAAGGGTGCAAGTGACAATGATAATACTTCAATATCTTTTTATTTTCGTAAATATTGTAAAACCTTTTTTTCTTTAAAAGACATATATGTTTGTGCTTTAGGTTTAAAGGAATGATTAATTATATTAATTTTAAATTTAATTACATTAATGATCATTAATGTAAAAAGGTTTCACTCAATAGGGCGATCGTACACTGACCAATAAATACCCTTACAGCGCAACACCAAATCCACAAGACCTTTCAAATCGAACACAGTTCGATTGATTCAAAGTTCCTTAAAACGTCTTGGATCTAGATAACCTAAGCAACATGATGGTGGATTTTGCAAAGACATCATCTTTTGA